TGCTAGGATTGCGGATCAGGCCGACCAAGTGTCCCCTGAATTCTGCTAGGATTGCGGATCAGGCCGACCAAGTGTTCCCTGAATCTGCTAGGATTGCGGCTCGGGTGACTTGTGTTTCCCGAGGTCTGCTAGGATGTGTCACTTCGGTGGCACAAGTATGGAATTGACGGATTATATGGAATTGACGGAAAATAAAGGAATTGACGGATTATAAGGAATTGACGGATTACTAAATGGGTACACCTAGGTGGTAGATTTAAAGTGTTTTCAATGTTTTCAGAGACTTAATAATTGATCAAGTATATGATTGATATATATATGATTACATTGATTTCAGTACAATTACGAATAAAGAAATGTTATAGTTTCTTAACTGTTTTTACAGAGGGGTTAGTATGTTCTTATACTATTTTTTTTCTAAAACTTTGTTTTTGGTCCACTCACCCTTTTTAATGTTTTGCGCCCCCAGGCAGTAAGCGTGCACAGTGAGCCACCACCGGGCCGAGTCCATCTTCTGCCACCTTCCTTGACTAAGTAGGATTTTGTTTAATTATTTTATACTTGTAACCTAATCTGTGTAGAGCTCTGATATTGCCCTAGAACACTTGTCTAACTGTTAGTATGTAAATTTTTGGTATGCTGGCAGTTGGTGTATATTTTTATATGCATGTTTGACAGGTGTAATCTTGGGATTGGTTTAACTGCAGGGGAGACCTTGCTGAATTTTTCAGCAAAAGTCAAACCCCAGTTTTAGAAAGTTGACTGGAAGGGCAATTAGGTCTTTGGTGCTCGGCACTTGCCAGGTGTCGGACACAAACAGGGTCCGGCTCGGATTCCAAAGTGGAATTTGGGTCGGGTCCTGTCATGACTCCTCCCACCATATTATGATGTTGCCCAAGTTTTGGGCTCGATCTGAAATCAATAAGTTTAAGAAGTTCAAAGGTACTTCGTTTCGAATTGGAGTGGTTGGTGTTTTGGGTAGTTCTATTGATCGGATTTCACTCAAACTTAACCAAATGAATCCTCCTGTTTTGGGTAGTTCTATTGATCGGATTTCACTCAAACTTAACCAAATGACTCCTCCCACCATATTGTCTTGTTGCCCATGTTTGTGCTCAATCCGAACTCAATAGGTGTAAGAAATTGGACAATTGATGTTCAAACGCAGTTCGTTCCTAATCGGAGTGGTTGGTGTATTTTATAGTTCTAGAGATCAGATTTCACTCAAAACTAACCAAATGACTCCTGCCACCATATTATGATATTGCCCAAGTTTTGGGCTCGATACGAAATCAATAGGTGTAAGAAATTAGACAAGTCAAGTTCAAAGGCAGTTCGTTCCAGATTGGAGTGGTAGGTGTTTTGGGTAGTTCTAGAGATTGGATTTCACTCAAACGCAGTTTGTTCCTAAACGGAGTGGATGGTGTATTCCATAGTTCTAGAGATCGGATTTCACTCAAAACTAAAAAAATGACTTCTCCCACCATATTATGATGTTGCCCAAGTTTTGGGCTCGATCCGAAATCAATAGGTGTAAAAATTGGACAATTCAAGTTCAAAGGCAGTTCATTCCTAATTGGAGTGGTTGGTGTTTTGGGTAGTTCTAGAGATCGGATTTCACTCAAACATAACCAAATGACTCCTCCCACCACATTATGATGTTCTCCCAGTTTTCGACTCGATCCGAAATCAATAGGTGTAAGAAATTGGACAATCCAAGTTCGAAGGCAGTTCGTACTTAATTGGAGTGGTTGGTGTTTTGGGATGTTCTAGAGATCGGATTTCACTCAAACTTAACCAAATGACTCCTCCCACCATATTATGATGTTGCCCAAGTTTTGGGCTCGATCCGAAATCAATAGTTGTAAGAAAATGCACAATTCAAGTTCGAAGGCAGTTTGTTCCATATTCGGGTGGTAGTCGTATTTGGTAGTTCTAGAGATCGGATTTCACTCAAAATTAACCACATGACTCCTCCCACCATATTATGATGTTGCCCAAGTTTTGCGCTCGATCCGGAATCAATAGGTGTAAGAAATTGGACAATTCAAGTTCAACGACAGTTCGTTCCTAGTTGGAGTGGTTGGTGTTTTGGGATGTTCTAGAGATCGGATTTCACTCAAATTTAACCAAATGACTCGTCCCACCACATTATGATGTTGCCCAAGTTTTGGGCTCGATCCAAAAGCAATAGGCGTAAGAAATTGGGCAATTCAAGTTCAATGGCACTTCGTTCCTAATTGGGGTGGTTGGTGTATTGGGTAGTTCTAGAGATCCGATTGCACTCACAATTAACCAAATGACTCCTCCCACCATATTATGATGTTGCCCAACTTTTGTGCACTATCCGAGATGAATAGGTGTAAGAAATTGGACAATTCAAGTTCAAAGGCAGTTCGTTCCAAATTGGAGTGGTTGGTGTTTTGGGTAGTTCTAGAGATCGGATTTCACTCAAATTTAACCAAATGACTCGTCCCACCATAATATGATGTTGCCCAAGTTTTGGGCTCGATCCAAAATCAATAGGTGTAAGAAATTGGACAATTTATGTTCAATGGCAGTTCGTTCCTAATCGGAGTGGTTTGTGTATTCCATAGTTCTAGAGATCGGATTTCACTCAAAACTAACCAAATGACTCCTCCCACCATATTATGATGTTGCCCAAGTTTTGGTCTCGATCTGAAATCAATAGGTGTAAGAAATTAATAGGTGTAAGAAATTGGACAATTCAAGTTCAAAGGCAGTTCGTTCCTAATTGGAGTGGTTGGTGTTTTTGGTAGTTCTAGAGATTGGATTTCACTCAAACTTAACCAACTGACTACTCCCACTGTATTATGATGTTGCCCCAGTTTTGGGCTCGATCCGAAATCGATAGGTGTAAGAAATTAGACAATTCAAGTTCAAAGGCAGTTCGTTCCTAATTGGAGTGGTTGGTGTTTCGGGTAGTTCTAGTGATTGGATTTCACTCAAACTTTACCAAATGACTCCTCCCACCATATTATGATGTTGCCCAAGTTTTGGGCTCGATCTGACATCAATAGGTGTAAGCCATTGGACAATTCAAGTTCAAAGGCAGTTCGTTCCTAATTCGGGTGGTCGGTGTATTGGGAAGTTCTAGAGATCGGATTTCACTCAAAATTAACCAATTGACTCCTCCCAGCATATTATGTTGTTGCCCAAGTTTTGGGCACTATCCGAGATCAATAGGTGTAAGAAATTGGACAATTCAAGTTTAAAGGCAGTTCGTTCCTAATTGGAGTGGTTGGTGTTTTGGGTAGTTCTAGAGATCGGATTTCACTCAAAATTAACCAAAAGACTCCTCCCACCACATTATGATGTTGCCCAAGTTTTGGGCTCAATCCGAAATCAATAGGAGTAAGAAATTGGACAATTCAAGTTCAAAGGCAGTTCGTTCCCAATTGGAGTGGTTGGTGTTTTTTGTGGTTCTAGCGATCGGATTTCACTCAAACTTAACCAAATGACTCCTCCCACCATATTATGATGTTGTCCCTGTTTTGGTCCCGATCCGAAATTGATAGGTGTAAGAAATTGGACAATTCAAGTTCAAAGGCAGTTCGTTCCAAATTAGAGTGGTCGGTGTTTTGGGTAGTTCTACAGATCGGACTTCACTCAAACTTAACCAAATTATTCCT